TAATTTTCTGCAGTATACCAAGTGTTCAGCTTTCATTTTTTTTCTCAACCTACTTCTATAACCCAAGGACAATATCTTCATTTTAAAAGTGTGAGAATAGAGGAAACTGAAAGTCAAACAGGTCAGAAGATAACCTGCGGACTTATTTGTGAAGCTTCTGAGTGCGTGCTTTTTCTATGCTGCAAAACCCTGGAGACTTATTTCAACCCAGAGAGACTTCCTCATTAAATGGAAATATAATTCAGTGTGATCGTGAACCAGGAATGTTATGGAAACTCAGATGGAAGAGCAGAACATTTCTGAGGCTTGGGTCCACTACTAAAGGCTTAAGGAGGAAAATAAATCCCAAGAGAGTAGGACCCACTGACTGTGCATGTTATCCTAAGTGAAAGTTTTCTACAGTTCCATTTTATATATTTAGGTGGCCTTCTAAAATGCTTTTTGGAAGAACACATTGTGTAACTAAAGAAACCAATTAAACGCAGTCAATATTATACCCATGAAGTTGAAGTACAGATACTTTGGAGGTAATGTAATGTCTTGTTTTGTAATATAATAATCTACATGAAATAACGTTTCCATATGTCAATGAGACTGGGTAGCTTGCATTCTTATCTCAGTACTGAGGTCAAATCACAGAAAAGCAATACATTTTTCAGAGATCTTCCCAGTGCCACTTTGTCTCAGAATATCTTCAAGTAAATGGAAAAGAATATTGTAATTGATGGACTAAAAGGATAATAATACACACAGTGGATTTTCAATAGAAGCCTTCTCAAGGCCACATTTAACTGCAGTTTCAGATGAAACTGAATCATAAATTTAAATAGAAAAAGACACAATTGCTATTACTTGTAGTGCTGGCAAAAAGTATATAGATTTGCATAATATAAGAAAAGGAATCCATTAATAGAGTCTCTGCAAAGAAAGCTAAAACCCAGAGTCAAAGTTTTAATTTAGTTTTTTGATGTCTGTTAAGTTTTCTCCCACTTCTTGGGCAGTTAGTTCCCTCTGAAATATCAATTCTATTTTGGAAATGAAGATCTTGACACTCATTAAATTACTCTGGTGTCTTTTCAAATCACATAAATCTTTAAATTACAGAAATGTTCTTAAATTATGTGTCATGTTTTTTCATCTTTTCTGCCTCTAGGGGGAAGTGTGTTTTCAACAATTCTGTCCCCAGAGGTATTTTCTTGTAGGCTATAGGCTTTCAGAGTGTTCTTTAGTGTGACTTCAGAGCTGACTGGACAAGGAAGAGGCCCCTTGAAAATATGAACAGTCCACTTTAAAGGTTGCAGCCAGGATTCTGAGGGAGCAGGGTGGTAGAGATTGTTACGAATGGTTAGAGAAAACTTCATTCCAGTAGCTTTCCTACTACATTACATAGATTCACGCTAGTTGCCCTATGTGGTGCTGTCTTTCCAGATAGAAGCAGAATGATATATGGACACAAATTTCAGTTCACAGAGCTGGAAACTAAGCAGTTGAATACTCTATGGAAACGTTGCCTCCTTATTTTAGTAGCTTAAAGTTTAAAAATCATGGTTTTTGGATATTGATGAAAACATATCTAAACCTATAAAAAATCTATTAATTTCTATAACATCACATTTAGGACTAACATTGTCTTCAGGCTTTCAACTGGTTAATTTTATTTTGTAGCATTTCTTTATAACTTTCATTTGTTTTCATGTGACATTTGAAGCCAGAAAAAATGCACCCATTAAAAAGCTTAATGGTTTTTTTAAAATATGAAATTATGCTTCTTTTTTCCCATTTCAGTGTTTCACAGAATGAAAAGGAATCATATTTAAAAATTGAGTCCAAGGATGAGTTATTTTTATTTTTCACCCCTTTCCTTTTTTCTTGTTTTAGTTTTATGATAGTATTACAAAAATTCTGTTATAAAATGATGTTATTTTTAGTTTTAGTGGGCCATATAGCTTGGAAACAGCAATATATAAGATTAAAAAAATCGATACAAATAATGTTGTTACTTAAAGTGGGTGTTGGCTTTGTCTCTAACCCTCTTAAGATGTTCTCAGGGGTTGAAGAGGTATTTATATGTATGATTTATACTCTTTGGGCCTCAATTCTTCAACTAGAGAAGTGGAGATGTCAAGCTGAGTGACTTCTTGCAGAACTCCACTATATTTACACAAACTCTCAGCTGGCTACTAAAAAAATAATCTGATTTGACGGAAAGAAACAAGCCCATACCATTAAAATTCATATACTTGTAATACTTGGTGAGTCTTTCTATAATCTTCTGCCTGTTTGCATTTGAAGAACTTTCTTTGGAATCCTAACTTCTGCTCACTGGAATTTTCAAGGGGTGTTTGGAGTATGTGCAAGGGTAGGAACACCAGCTTTCTTGGTGTTCAGTGACAGAACTGTTCAGTGACAAGCTGGAAGTTGAGGCTAAGGTGCTCACCCTAACGTAATCGCACTGCCCTGCAGCTGACCTTCCGGCGAAGCTGGGCAGCGCCGGGATAGGAGAGGCATTCATGCCGGTTGCCACTGAAACCCCAGACTCTCCGAGTAAGCCCACATCACACATTGCAGAATCATATCGCCCTTGGCGGGTGTTCCCCAGACACTGGGCATACCGGGGAGTAATCAGAAACCTCGGTCCTTCACGTCTCCTAGCAACCAGTTGAAATCCATTAAGACCCTTGGAATTCTGGATTTAGCTGTTGTCCTGTTGTCTTTTTTTTTTTTTTTTGAAGTAACTATGATCCTATAATAAAACGTCCGCCCCACTAGAAGAGCGCTGGAAGGATTTAGTTGTTGTGTCTGGCGCGCTCTAAATATATATTGTGTGTGTGTGTGTGTGTGTGTGTGTGTGTGTGTGTATTACCTGTTTGTTGGGATTACATTTTATATAGATGCTGCTTTTGCTACTGGTTGGCAGCTCTAACTAAATTAGTTCTCGTAGGAGTTAGAAGCTCCTACTTTAGGATTTAGGCAAAAACAGCGCATAATCTGAAATCTAAATGACCAAGAGGCTGAGACGTTACCCATAATTACATTTATGATGCCAGAAAGAGAGATAAGGAGTGTCGTTAAGAGCGAAGAGAGCTGATGCCAAAAGTTGCCACATCTCCGGAAACCTCAATTTGCCTTTTCACGGTCACAAACCAGAGCGAGGGCGCTTTAGGGCTTCAACGTTTAAAAAAAAAAAAAAAGCGCCTGGGCGGTGGCACCGGGGTTAAGATGTAAGCTTCTGCCGATAGAGGGCGTACGTTTAAGACTAATAGAAATTTATGGACAGGGGCGCCCAGTCAAATGAAAGAACATTTTATAACATTTTTCAATTTATTTTAATTTGCGGGACTTAAGAGTTCTCTCGTGCAATGCAGCACGTTCACAGTGCAAATGACTTCGGTGTGTTAAGGCGTACAGAGGGTCCAGTTCCTTTTTGACCTGCCTAGCTGCGCGACGAACTCCTGGCGGTGCTCCTCTGTTTCCACCGCGTCTCTACTGCCGTTGTGGCTGTGACCAGTGAATAGACTGGGTCTAGGAAGCAGGACCTTCCTTGGCATCGCTAGCCTCCAGCCTAGTGCCTAGCGCACTCGGGAGAAGAAGCGAATGGATCTCCCGGAGCTCGGTCTGGCAGAGTGCGTTCGTCCCCACTCAGGGGATCTTCCAGGAAGCAGAGCGAAGAGACAGTCCCTTTATTTAGTTACCTGGTTTAACCAACAAAGCCTGGAGAACGTCTCGGCGACGCAAGCTTAGTGCCATCTCCAGGAGCCGAGTCATTTGCTCGCTTTCGGGAGCAACAGGTTTCGCTTTCTTGCTCTCAGTGCTTTGGCGGAGGGTCTGCACGCGGAAACACAGTGACCGACCCCGACACCGCTGTGACTCCCAGAGTGAACCTGCGCGGCTCAGAGGGAGGGGGCTGGCGGAGTCGGGGAAGGAAAGGTGAGGGTAACGCCCCGGTCGGCTGGGCACGTCGGTCCCTCAAATGAGCCTTCTGCATTGGGACCTTGCTCCTAGTTTCCTGACCTTTCTCCAGGCGACCAGGAAGGTCAGGTGCCCGACCGGGATAGGCTCACCAGGAAGGAATGTGCACGGATCATTAAAGAGGTGAGAGCAAAGGGGACCTACGACTTTTGCACAAAAACTATCAATTTCGAGAACCACTCCCTCCTTCCAATCCTGTCGTTTTTTTTTCCCCCAGTGAGTGTTTGTGTGTGTGTGTGCGCGCGCATTTCTTTACTTTCAAACACATTTCCTCTTAAAGCCTGGAGAGCTGGAGAGAGCGTGGCCAGGGAAAGGCGGGGATCCGAGAGGCGCGCGGATCTGTAGGGGCTGCCGCCGGTGCAGACGTGGGCGGATGAGGGTCTAAGGAACCCGCCTAAGGCCGGCCAGGAGTGAGGGTTAGGGAAGAGGGGAGCGGCGGGCAAGGAAGGGGTGCGGGGAGGAGCCCTGATGTAAGAATGTTAATGACAGGCTCCCCCAGCCCAGCCCCCACCTTTCCCCACCCCCACCCACCCCACCCCCTGGAAATACAAGTCCGTCCTTGGCTCGCCATGTGTGGTAACACGCTCCGCCGCTGCCACGCTATTTAAACGCGGGCTATGGATCCAGGAACCGGCGCGAATCAATGAGATCAAACGCGAAGGAGATGCACCGTCAATTACAAGCACTTGGACAAGTCTAACTTTTTTTTTTCTTTTACAAATACGCTTTCAAAAGCAACCTTAGCAACGCCCAAATAAGAAGCCACCTCTAAGCAAACAGCATATGTATAAAGGGAGGGCGAATATATATATATTTATAATAAGTATATATGTATATTACAGACGCACAGGTTTACACTCGGTGAACTTTTTCTTTTTTTAAAAAAACTAGTGACATTGAAGAGAAGGACTGTTCCTCTCTATCTTTTGGCGCGTTAGTGAAGGGGGTATTCTGTTTTCTTAGATCGCCCAAGGGGGCGCAGGGACCTCAGAAAGAAGAGTGGAGAAGAAAGAGGAAGGGTGGGTGGGGGGCAGAGGGTGAGTCGGCGGCGAAGGCGACCGCTTTCTTGCGGCACGATGCCGTCCCTGCTGGTCCTCACTTTCTCCGCGTGCGTCCTGCTCGGCTGGGCGTTGCTGGCTGGCGGCACGGGTGGCGGCGGGGGCACGGGCCCAGGCAGCGGGCGCCGGGAAAGAGAGGCGCTGCCTCCTCAGAAGATCGAGGTGCTGGTGCTGTTGCCCCAGGACGACTCGTACTTGTTCTCACTGGCTCGGGTGCGGCCGGCCATCGAGTATGCCCTGCGCAGCGTGGAGGGCAACGGGACCGGGAGACGGCTTCTGCCGCCCGGCACTAGCTTCCAGGTGGCCTACGAGGACTCGGATTGCGGTAACCGCGCACTCTTCAGTCTAGTGGACCGCGTTGCGGCTGCACGAGGCGCCAAGCCCGACCTCATCTTGGGACCTGTTTGCGAGTACGCTGCAGCACCGGTGGCCCGACTTGCGTCGCACTGGGATCTGCCCATGTTGTCGGCCGGAGCACTGGCCGCGGGCTTCCAACGCAAGGAAACTGAATACTCGCACCTCACGCGCGTGGCGCCTGCCTACGCCAAAATGGGCGAGATGATGCTAGCCTTGTTCCGCCACCACCACTGGAGCCGCGCTGCGCTCGTCTACAGCGATGACAAACTGGAACGGAACTGTTACTTTACCCTCGAGGGTGTTCACGAGGTTTTCCAGGAGGAGGGTTTGCATACGTCTGCCTACAATTTCGACGAAACCAAAGATTTGGACCTGGACGACATCGTGCGCTACATCCAGGCCAGTGAGCGAGGTGAGCAGGAGCGCGTCCCGGACCCCTGGTCCTAACCCATCCTCTCTCCGCGACTCTCCTTACACACCGGTCCTGTTCTCTGCAGACCTCACTGTTCCCTGTGGCGCTAAGGATCCCGGGAGGGTGTGCGCGGGGACTTGCCAGGTGTGAGCTGTTTGGCAGCGATCTTTGAGGATCGCCCATCGCTGTGGAGGGGTGTACTTAGAGGGTCCTGGGGAGGTGGAAGGGTCTGGGCAAGGAGAAAGCCGTCTTCTGCGGGTCCATGTCTGACAGGTGCTGTCAAACCACTCGGGGTTTTTCTTCCCAGCTCCCTATTTGCCAGCGCAGGGTTGGCGATTAGAGGCGCACCACCAGTGCCCTGCTTCAGGGTCTGAAGCATGCCAAGGCCGAAAGAAGTTGTTACCCTCTCCATTGCTGTTGTGCGCTCTCGCTCAGTGGCAGTGTCCTAGGACGCTGTGCAGCTGCGCGCTGCCACTTGGCTCACTCCCGGGCCTCTCGATTTTCCTAGCTGCGCTATCCCAGACCCCAGGCGTCTTTTAAAAGTCTCATTGTGTCGCTCTGTCATTCCTCCCATGACCCCTTTAGTCCCTTACAAACAAGTTTCTGTGGTTTCTACTAAAAATGCTTCGTAGTGTTTGGACTCGGGCAACACTCATTTTCCCCGGGGCTTTCGGCATCACAGTCTCTACAGCGCCCAGAACTAGACTTTTTTGCGGGAGCGCTCTCGAAAAGCGGCCATTGAATCTCCTTTCCACCTGCCTCCACTCAGCGCCAAATTTTCTCGGCGGGTCTCTAGGGGGTTTGGAATAATACCCAAACTGGATAAAGTGCTCAAGACTGGAAATGGTGGCTATGGCTGCAGCGAGTATGGTGGAGGAAAGGTAATAGCGGAAGCCCCTATTGCGGCCCATTTTACTGCAGGTAGACTGCGAGGAGCGGGGTGGTGGTGAGATCCCAGCATAGTGCAGATTCCTCCTCGGTGGTAGAGGGGTTGGCGTGAACTGCACTCAGGGAATCCCGCCTCCGATTTCCTTCAGTGCGCACGCGCTTGGAGTGCCTGGGGTGAAACCCCAGCAAAACTCTTCGCAACCCCTGTGCCACCGAGGGGAGCAGGGTTGAGCCATGCGTAGGGTGTGTCTACATCTTGGTACGGACTGGCATCTGAGCTTTGGCCATAGGGGCCAGCACAACCTAAGGCTGGGAACCTCATAAGCAGGTGAGAGTAGGCAGAGAATACATTGAGGATGAAGCTGTAGCCATCCCGCTTCCCATCTTGGCCTCGGACTTGAATGAACACACCCTTTAGAACGAAGGGGCAGGAGGTGTTGACAGTAGGCTGCCTGGCATGTTTTGAGCATTCGAACTCCAGGCTGTCTGCGCCGAATCCCTGCCAGCTAAGCAGGCGGGGCGCGGGCTCTGCTGATTATGAAAAAGAGCATTTGTGTTCAACGGCTGCGGACTCGCCACGCTTGGCCTGGGAACCCACATCTGTTTCTCTCCGCCCTTGCGGTCCCCGGGTTGCCGCAGCCTCCTTGCAGATCTCGGACTGCTATAGCCCCCGGAACCTGCCAGGAACTAGAAGTTGGAGACTTCTTAGGGCTGGTTGGGGTTGGGGGTGTGTCTCTCTATCGGCGAGATCCGTGGTTTGCAAGCGCGTGTGTGCTGCCTTTGCTGGACTGGTTCCAGTGGGCAGTCAGAGACCTCAGCGCACGTGGCGTGGGATACAAGGCAGAGTGGATCTGTTTGCCCAAGTGAGGGTAGATCTCAGCCAGGGGCCTCTCAACCTCACATGAGTTGCTGAGGCCATATAGCACAGGGAGGGCAGTAGTCCCGTGGTGGGCCTGGGGGGCTGGTGGCCTCAGGCTTTAGAGGATTTGGGCTGCCTTGTGTGGCTACTGCACGCTCCCTCCCCCCTTTTTGTGTTATATATATATACATATATATGTATATATATATCTGTCTATATTACACATTATATATAAAATTTATATATGTACTATATATATCTCAAAGCCTCATAGATATTACCAAGTCTCTGCTTTTTTTTTTTTCCTTCTACATTTGAATTTAGCGATGAAAGTTTGCTGGGCTCAGGTTTATACCTTACAGGTGATAAAGTTATGATTTTTATGATTCTTACTTTAAAATATATTTCCAACAAGGACCTGACATATATTCGGAAATATGAAATAAAATAGTTTCTTTCCTAAACCATTTTCCCTACCTTCCAAATTCCTTACTCTCAGGAGAGAAAGTTGCTTGATAACAAAGATCTCAGGGGATCTTCTACAAACACATTCAGTTATTCTTTACCATAAACAGTTAATGTGTTAAATAGGGGGTTCAGTTTCAGTGGAGTCTGTAGCTCAGCCACTCACTGGCTGGTGAATCTTGGGCTGCTAGTGAACTCTGTACCTGGGACTCTTTAGGTAAAATTGGGTTAGGGAGAGTGCCCAGTCTTTGGGATGATGGGAGGAACTAACTCCTGGAATGTGCCGAAAACAGTGCCAGACCCATAGTAAGGGCTCAATAAATGTGGTTTTATCACAATGGTTGTTACTTTATATATGTGATGATAAGCACCTTTACTGAGAAGGAAAGGTCCTGCCATGGGAGAAAACCCTGGGTTGAGAAGCAGATGCTTGGGGATCTGGTGTCTTAACTTACCAGCTTGGGTTTACCTGTGCAAGGCACTGTGCAGGAGCTTCCTACCCTGAGGCACAGGGACTCTGGTGAGAATTAGGCCTCTTCAAACTGATGTTTGTTGGTTCTGATTTGTGCATAGCCTCTTTTTTTAGAAATAATGATTTTTATTTAAAATAGATTCACTTGTACACCTGACTACTACCCTCAATATTCCACGCTTAATGGTAAATTTATTTTAAAAAAGATAGAATGGACTAATTTTTTCAAGCAATGAAAGGCAGTCATTGTTTTGTTTATACACCTTAAAAGTGTACAGATGTAACTGACAGTATTTCTGCCTTTGAAAATTCCTTATTAAGGATTATGAACTAGAGTATTCTCTAGAGAGTTCCTTTGCCCCTTCTTTTGCAGAGAACATTTTTAGCACTTGTTTTTGTGTTATGCTTGACTTCATATTTAAATCCAAATGAATATTTTAATCTCTTAAATGGCACTCTCAATGGCACTATACAATGGCACTATCCCAAATAATCATATGACTAATTTTTTTTACTATGGATTGTACTAAATCCATAAACACTAAAAGACTTCAGTTATTTTTTCATCTTAGGGAGTTACTAAATGTAAGTCAATAATTTAAAACCATTTTTCCTCTCATGTCTTTAGCTTATGTCACCAACATACACATGACTGAGCATACATTTTTAAAATAATGGTCTTTGTTTAAAACGGACTCACTTATGCATATGAGCACTGCCCTCAATATTCCACACTTACATGATAGATAATGAGCTATATTCCCAACCGATAGATTTATCTTTAAAAAGACAGAGTTAGAATTAAGTCATTTTTTTCAAGCAATTAAAGCCAGGAGTTTTTCGTTTATATACCTTATAAAATGCAGTACTCAGAGTATTCTACACACAAGATTTTTTTTAAATGAAAAACTGGAGTTTTACTATTTTAGTTATTAATATGTCATCAAACTGGGCCTAGGTAATAGCTGTAGAGATAATAGTAATTATTCAATACAGGAATCATCCATTTTTAGTAGTCTCGGGTAAATGAGTGGTAAATGATAAAGTGGTTGATCAGAATTTCTAAATAATGCACTATAAGTGTAAAATAACTTACACAGAATAACATGGGAAAAGAGAAGCACTGTAGGCTGCAATGCAGAAATTCCAGACCTTCAGAGAAGGTACTGCTTTGTGAACAACAAAAAAGAAGATATATCTCATTTTTGCAAACAATATCCATTGCTATTAAATGTAGAAAACAGCCAGAGAAAACTTTTTTGAAAAAAAAATAGATTTTAATTTAGCAAAATTAATTATATAGCCACATAATTTAAAGTCAGAAAATTATACAAATCTGATTAAGAAAACTTTCATTGCTTTCTACTCCCCATTTCTTACTTTCCAGAGGCAATCATTTTTAGATAATGTAGCTTTCTTGTAGTCATTTGTCTTTATATCTCTAAATAACAGGTTATTTTTGATTTTGTCAGTTTTAGACCTTCTCTCTTGATATCCCCATGGAAGATGATGATCAAGGTAGTTTCTACTGTCTGTTAACCACATACACATTTTCCTTTTAACATGGACCTGTCAAAATTTTGTTTAGCTCAGTATTCAGTATCAATATTATTATTTTCTTCTAAATACTGTTCACAGTCAAGACATGCAGGTTGCTAGGATGACACTATCTTTCTTGCTCCGCTTTCAGGCTTAGGGTAAAAATTAAAAACAAAAACAAAAACAACCTTTTTTTTTGTTGTTTGTTTTCTTAGTTTCCTATGGACTTAAAATTAAACCTTACAAAATTATCTGTTTTAAGCTCCTGAGATGCTTCAGTGTAGTCGTGTTTGAGCTGTACTTCACAGTTGTCATTCTGCGTTATTCCTTTAATGTCTTCCTAGGTCTCCAGTCACCTCTATTTTTGAGCTAGGTCCTAGTGCTCCTGTTTTTTGCTTCAAGCCCTTGTTTGGGGGAAGCACATCATCTAGGAACTTTCTGAGAAAGAATGAATGAGAATTTTCAGACTTGTCACAAGTGGAAATTTCTTCATCTTGCCTTTAAACATGATTGTAGAATTCTAGGTTGGAAATAATTTTCTCCCAACATTTGACAACATGCTCCGTTGTCTTCTAAATCCTGATGTTATTATTAGGAAGCTTGAATAGATTCAGATTCTGGAAGTAATCTTATCTCCCCCCCCCCCCCTGCTGAAAAGTTCTAGAATCTTCTCTTTACTCCCAGTGTTTTAACATTTCATTAGGATGTGCATTAGTGCCAGTATTTTGCCTTATTACTCTTGGTAGGCTGCTTCTTTCCAGAAACTCTTGTCTTGTAATTCTTGGAAAAATTCTTAAATTATTTCTTTGATGAGTGTTTATTTGTGATGTGTGTGATGTGTGTGTGATGTGTGTATGTGTGTATATATTATGTATGTACCGAGCCACATCTCCTTCTTTGAAGATTTTTATCCCCATTCCTTTTCTCTTTCTAGATTTTTTTCTTATTTGGATTGATCTTCTATTTTTATGATTTTTTTTCCTATATACCACCTGATTTATCTTTAAATTTTTATTTTTCATGGTTGGAGGGTTTTCAGATTTTTATTTTTGCATTTCTTCCAAAATTACTATTGAGTTTGGGTTTTTCATTTCTTTTATCACACTTTTGGCTTGCAGGATGTGGTACACTTTGTCTTGCCTCCATGCAGTAACATCTATCTCTCTTTCCCTTCCAAATTTAGAGTTAAAAGGAACATAGGTGCAGAAATCAGATGGAGAATATGAAAATGACCTGTTTATTATTACTTAAATGGATTGGAGAATGTGGATTTAGATCTGATGCCAAAAGGGCCTGCTTACTAGTACTTCCTCCCCAAATTAGGCAGAGACATCTACCAAATCACAGCCAGTGCCTTGAAGCTATAATTTCCCCCTTCAGGAGCAGTAACCCATAAAGGATACTCTCTGTTAGTAGACACATCTCAAAGGGGAAGAAAGAGGACAGGGCCTGGAGCGCCCAGTATCTTCTTTCAGACTCACCAAACATACAATCTCTCCTTTTCCTCTTGCTGGGAAACGTTACTGATGCTGGTGGGTAGTATATTTCTCTGGAATTTTCTAGGCACTTCTCATACTTCTTGCATACTTTCCAAATCTGTTTATGCCACTTGTGCTTATTACTTAATTTAATTAGTTATTGTATAAACTGATTAGACATGAATAAGAAGAGAAAGCTATTTCAATGAAAACTATTTAAAACCTTTTGATAAACTGTATAAAGACAAGTTGCTAAAAATACTTGCTGTTTACTTAGGCATGAATAAGACAACTGAAGGAGATCAGAGAGCATCATAAAAATTTGGGATTCTGCATTCTGACTGCTTTGCTAGAGTCATTAAATACTTGCTTCAACTTGCACTGAAACTTGATGATAGTGTATGTTATGGATTTGTTTTATTCAAGAAAGACAGTGAGCTGCCCATGAACTTGGGAATTAGGGGTTCCTTTTGAGAGTAAATCACAAGATTAACACAAAATGGTAAGATTGAAAATAATCAAAGTCTGCATAGTTAGATAAATGCTGTGTTATAACACTTTTGCTCAGACTCAGTGGGTACTAACATTTAAAGAGAGAATGTGCCCCTCAGAAGGCTTGGGGTAGTGTTGCTGGGGAGAGAGGAGGAGATGGGCCAGGAGTTTAAAGATAGGAGAAGAAGCCACAGAAGCCAGTGTTGGGCAGAACACACCCATGACCTGGGGAAGCATGTGCTCTGGCCCTGAGGCATAGTCTGTTCAGTCCTAGGCAAGTGTAGCTCTTATGTGGGTGTTTAAGGTTATCAGTGGCTGATGCCTTTGGATGCCTGAATCCTTCAAATTGATTCTGATTCCATCCTCACTGGCATCTTACTGTTCATCATTTGCCCCCCACCCCCACCCCGTTGGCATGCCCAAGGTACAGGGCAAGTTGACCCAAATATATTCATGGCCATTCTGGTCTCCATGAAATTTAAGTAATCTGCAGCCATAAATATCTGATGTAGGTTATTGGAAATCTGCCCCTAAGCAACTACTTTACTCTCTATGTAATGGCAGAATCAGGTTTTGCACATGGGAACTGAGAAATACACCCTAGACTACAAGCAGTTGATTAAAAAATGATAAGGACTGTCTAGTAGGCAGCCAGATAGAGCTTTCTGGCTCCTTTCTGGAGACGCTTACTCCTGGAGTCCATATTCTTCAAACTTGTCTGGCCTTACCTCCTAGCTGGCTATTTTGTGGGACATCTTGACTGTTTTTTTTTTTTTTTTAAGTGAAAGGGCCAGATTTGAATGAGAGCTACAACAAGGTTCTTTCATAATGAATAATTAGGAGTTTCTTTGAGAGCTTCCCCACTGAGATATCATGACATTTGTTTATCCTAAATGCATATAACAGTATTTCCAAGCATAAGCAATACCTGCTCCCATCGTTATAGGTCTATTAGCAGTTTTACACTGTTTTAAAAACTTGTTCTCTAAAGCTTTTATCCCATGCATGGAGCCCTTTTGTAATACGAAATGACAGAATCAAGACCTAACCCTCTTGAGTTCATTTGCAGTAAACGAAATATCAGCAAGAGCCCAGCCCTCCATGCAGGTTGCCAAAGCTGCTCAGGCACAGCCTTTCAGCACCCCTGTTTTTACCAAGCACATAAACATCTTGGAGGTCTGGCATGCATCGTGATAACATGGTTTACAAAACCCAGGTCTCTGTGGGTCTCTTCTCTGCACAGTGTGTATGCATCAAATACATGGTTGCGGAGTCTGGGGACCATCAGTAGTGACCAAATTGGACAACAGCCAAGTCCTCACTTTACTTCAGCTGGTGTCCCTCTTAGGTGTCAGGCAACAATCATCTGGAGCTGCTTAAAGCCTCTCAAATCCCATAGCGTGGCTTTAAACTGAGAGGACATGAAAAGGGAACATGGGAATCTTGTTAACTATTTCCTCTGTGTTGAGACAACCTGAAAATGATGTTTTAAAATGCAGACAGTAAAATGTGTATGGAACTCACTGCATCTTCTGATATGCCAGAAAAATGTTCTTTCTATAGCCACTGAGTTTGCTTTTTAAGGGAAATGCATTTGCCATGCTATTAAGTATGAAAAGCAGTTAGTACTCTGTCTTAGTTTATAATGGGAAAATCTAGTGATTTACTTAATGTATTACTTAGGAAAAAAACCTTTCATTTTGAAATACTAGAATTGAACCCAGAGCCTTGCACATACTGGTAAGGCAAGCACTCTGCCATGGAGCTACATCCCCATCCCTTTTTAAAATTTAATTTTGAGACAGGTCTTACTGAATTATTCAGGCTGGCCTTGAACTTGTGATCCTCCTATCTCAGCTTCTGGAGTAACTGGGATTACAGGTGTGTACTACCATGCTTAATGGAAAAATCCCTTTATTTTGAAATAGTTGTGCACTTTTGGAAAAGCTAAAGAACCTTTATACAGCATTCTCCCAGATTTTCACCAATTGTAAATATTAACATTTTGTTTTTTCAATACAAATCTGTTCCCTCCCTTACCTTCCTCTTTTCTGTTTATACACACACACACACACACACACACAGAGATAATACGTATTTTTATAAGTACAGGATTGTTTTTCCTCTTCTTCCTCCCTTTTTGTAGACCTCCCTCCTCCTCCTCCTCTGCTTTCCAGTACTGGGGATAGAATTCAGGTCCTCACACTTGCTAGGGAAGTGCCCTACTGTTGAGTTAAATCCCCAGCCCACAATCATTGTTTCTTTTGATTTTTCCCCCAGGGCCAAGGACTGAACTCAGGGCTTTGTGCATGGGAGGCACTTTGCCACTGAGCTACATCCCCAACCCCATCATTGTTTCTTTACTCCTAAACATTTAAGGGTATGTTTCCTAAGAATAAGGAGGAGTCATGAAAAGTGATAATGCAGTTCTATTATCTAGTTCACAGGAGTTACTCAAATTTCACCACCTGTTTAAACAATGCCCCCCCCCCCCCTTTTTACATATATATACTTAAGGTCCAGAGTCCAATTAAGTATCATACATTGCCATGTTTTATGTTGGGAGTCGCCCAGCTCCAAAGACTAACTTCCTCATCCCCCGAGAAGAGCCGTCCAATGGTGAGCCCTGTTGGCTCATATGATCCTTACCCACCAATCAGACTAGCCCTGCTGGCTCACATGATCCTTACCCACCAATCAGACTAGCCCTGCTGGCTCACATGATCCTTACCCACCAATCAGAAAGCACCCCATGCCAACTGTCAAACTATTCAACCATTAAACTGTCATAACTGTCAAACCACCTCCGGCTCTATAAATATGCAGAGCTGTTCCTCAATAAATGGGCATTTTCTGTTCCTTTAATTTGAAGGTACAAATATTAAGAAAATATAAAGAAGCATTCCTCCTTATAATTTCTTTCAGTGATTTTATTAATTTCCATAAAGTTACCATTTTTCCCTTTGTGATTATAGTAGTCTCCTCCTTATCTGTGGTTTTGCTGTCTGAGGTTTTAATTACCTGTATTGAATTGTGGTCTGCAAATATTAAATGAAAAATTCTAAAAATAAACAATCAAGGGGTTTTAAACACTTTTGTTATAGTATATTATTATAATTGTTCTATTTTATTATTAGTTGTTGTTGTTAGTCTCTTACTTTGCCTAATTTACAAATTAAGCTCTATCATAGGTATTTGCTTATAGGAAGAAATATGGTATATATAGGGGTTGGCATCATCCACAGTTCCAGGCATCTGGTGGGTCCTTGGAACATTTCCCCTGCAGAGAAGGGGAACTACTGTAGAAAGTACCTTATGTGAGGAGATGCTTCAGGACCCTTTAACTACCCTGTCCCATGTCCAGCACTCCAGACTGGTTTTGCATGCTTACTGTCTGCTGTGTTGGGTGTCTCACATTTGTTGTTTGTTTCTCTCCCCAGTGGTGATCATGTGTGCGAGCGGTGACACCATCCGGAATATCATGCTGGCAGCACACAGACATGGCATGACCAGTGGAGACTACGCTTTCTTCAACATTGAACTCTTCAACAGTTCTTCCTATGGTAACTCCACTTCCAGCTTCCTCCATGGTGCCAGTAATGTTACTATGCCAAGGTGTCAAAGAGGGGTTGGAAGGAAAAGTCAGACATTTGAGTTGGGCCCATAGATGTGATTTCTGTAAATATGATTTTGGAAATTTGTGATTTCTTCCAAGTTACTACTCTTTAAACCTCTCCTATGTGGAATTTTGGGAGTCATCAACATAGAGAGTTGAAAACATTTAATTCCTTATAATGGATCTGGGCAATTCCCAGGGTCCATGTGATGAGGCTGTTTACACCCAAATATAGAATTTAGAGGCAATGCATATTAATGCATATGGGTGCACATTATATATGAAGAAGTGCATTTACAATGCACATTCACATACATTGTGCATTTAGTACTTAATGCAACATGATGCTGGAGTTCCTTTCAACTACAGATAAGACTGTATTATTTTTCCCTGCTAATTGTAATACATAAGTATTGTAGAAAATTTGGAAAACATAGGAAAAACACAGGGAAGAAGACATAGTTATAATTATACTACTTAGATAAAAGTACATTGTAATTTTTAGAAGTATGCACACCCTGCTTTATAAACACACACATATACATATACATTTATTTTATAAAATATTTTTTAATAAAATGATTATATCACTAACAGTATGGCTACATAATATTTTATAATATTGACATGCTTTCTTTAATCAGTCTTATTTTTCAATATTTATGTTATTTCTAGCTTTTTGCTGTTGAGAACTGTTCCACATTGAGTACTTTGTGTGCACACATGCATTCACTCACATATTTATGTATATATATTTTCTGTAAGAGAAATTTCTGTAAAAACTGCTGACTCAAAAGTTATATGCATTTAAGTTTTGACAAGTATTGCTCAGTTGTCCTGTGAAGAGGTTTACCAGTTTATACTTTTGCATACAGAAGTATGAGATTATCTGTTTTTATTATTCTTGTCAACATTGTATAATCTTTCTTTCAAATTATTTTATTTATTTGAATTTCTTAGTATATTCATAAGCAAAGATATGCAGTTTTCTTTTTTCAACATAAATATTTTAAATAATTTTAAATTTTAATAATATAAAGTTAATAATTTTAATGTGAACAGTTTTGTGACTCTTACTACATTGATGCTGTGGTTCAACTACCACCTTTTAATATTTTTTAAAACAATATTAATTTAAATCAAATGAATTAACATTTGTCACATTATGTTATTTTTATGGTGATACTTTTGAAACTTACTCTTAGTTATTTTTGAAACGTGTTTCCCTCTATGACACTTTTGTTGAGTTTATTTTTGGGTATTTTATGGTTTTGGTGGTTCTTATAATCATGATCTTTTCTGTTACATTTTGTACTATAGTTATATAGAAAAACCTATGAGTTCTTATTAATTTTTTAAGAATTCTGCTAATTGAATCCTGTGTTCTAATTGCTTCTGTGTCATTATCACATTACAGTAGCAGCATTTCCTCTTTTAATAGTTGAACATCTTTTTTCTTATTGGCAAGATCCTAAAAAGTGATATTATATAACAGTGGTAATACTTAAGTTTCTGACCTCTTGTCTTGAAGTAGATGTTAAAGTATTCTTTTATACTTTAAAGTATGTGAATTGTGGGCTGAGGTTGTGGCTCAGCAGTGGAGCGCTTGCCTAGCACGTGCAAGGCCCTGGGTTCGATCTCAGCCCCACATAAAAATAAATAAAATAAAGGTATTGTCCAACTACAACTAAAAAATGAATATATTTTTTAAAAAGTATGTGACTTGTGATTTTAAAAATAAGGGTTGAATGTTGATTTTATCAAATGCTTTTGCCCCATATTTTTAGTAAATTTCATAATAGTAAGCTATCATAACATTCTTAGAAGTAAGTGTACTGCATTATGATGGTATTTTGAGATGTATTACTGAATTTAAGGTTTTAGTATTTTATTTGGATTTTGAATTTGTATTCATGGGTGAGGTTAGATAGTAGTTTTCTTCCTTAAGGTGATATTGCTAGATTTGAATGTGAGGTTTGCACTAACTTTATAGAATTAATTTGGACACGTTCTCATTTCAAATGCTTTGGAACAGTAAATATGTACCATAGGTACATCCCTTGAAATATGAAAACAATTCAACTCTGTATTTGGAATTCATTTCTGCTAGAGGTAATTGTTGGACAACTTTTTACAAAAATCTTTTTATTTTAGAATGATTTTAAACTTATAGAAAACTTGCAAAAATAATATAGAGAGTTCATGTATATGTTTTACCAAACTTCCTCTAATGTTAATAACTAAACCAATTATCAACTAAGACAATTTACATTTTTAGAGTACTACTAACTAAACTTCAGGCTGTATTTGAAATTTACCACCTTTCTTCCTAATGTTCATGTTATGTTGCATAATCTGATCTAGTGACATAGCTGGGTCATATGGTGGTCCCATGCCCAGTCTTTTGAGAAACCTGATTTTTGCTGTAGTTGTACTAATTTACAATTCTACCAACAGTGTTCCTTTTTTCTTCACATCCTCTTCAGCATTTATTATTGTTTGTATTCTTGATGGCTGCCATTCTGATTGGAACACTGAAAACTCAGTGTAGTTTTGATTTGTATTTCCCTACTTTCTATTGCTGTTGAATTTTTTTTTCATATATTTGTTGGCCATTTGAATTTCTTCTTTTGAGAAGTATCTGTTTAGTCTATTTCCCATTTACTTATCGGTTTATTTATTTATTTATTGTGGTGTTCAGTTTTTTGAGTTCTTTATATATTCTGGATATTAATCCTCTGTCAGAAGAACAGTTAGCATTTTTCTCCCATTCTTAATTGTTTCCTTTACTCTGAAGGAGTTTTAAATTTGATGCCATCCCATTTATTAATTCTTGGCATTGTTTCTTGAACCTTAGTAGTCCTCTTGAGAAAATTATTGCTTATGCCTATGTGTTGAGTGTTAATCTTACATTTTCTTCTAGAAATTACATAGTTTCTGGGCTAATTCCTAGCTCTTGATTCATTTTGAATTGGCTTTTGTGCAGAGTGAGAGATAAGGAAATAGACTCATTCTTCTACATATGGATAACCATTTTTTTTTCCAGCACCATGTGTTAAAAAGGCTGTCTTTTCTCCAATGTATGTTTTTGGCTCCTTAGTATTGTATCAGATGACTGTGTTCCTGGAATTTTTCTCCAAGTCTTCTGATATGTATTGTTGGTATACGTGTATGGGGATTGCCTTGAGCTCGTATATTGCTTTTGTAGTATGATTATTTTAATGATATTCTGCCTATCCTTGAACAAGGATATCTTGTATCTTCTTCAATTTGTTTCTTCAGTATGCTATAATTTTCATTGTAAAGGTATTTAACCTCCTTCGTAGATTTATTCCTAGGTATTTTTTTTAGGCTGTTGTGAATGGGATTGTTTTCTTGGTTTATTCTCAGCAGATTCATTATTGGTATATAAGAAAGGTATTGATTTTTGTATGTTGATTTTGTAACTTGCTACTTTGGTGAATTTGTTTATTAGCTCTAGCAGTCTTCTGGTGGAGATTTTTGGATGTTCTAAATATAAGATCATATCATCTGCAAACAGGGATAATTTAACTTCTTCCTTTCTTATTTTTATCCCTTTTCCTTTTTTTTTCTCTTGCCTAATTGCTCTGGTTAGAGTTTCTGGTACTGTATTGATAGGAGTGATGAGAAGTAGACATCCTTGTCTTGTCCCAGATTTTAAAGGAAATACTTTCAGTTTTTCCCCATGCACCATAATGTTGGCTTTCAGTTTGTCATATGAAGCCTTTATGATATTGAGGTGGGTTCCTTCTATCCCTAGTTTCTTCAGTGTTTTTATCATGAATGAGTGCTGATTTTTGTCAGAGGCTTTCCTGTATTTATTGAGATGACTGTGATTTTTGTCCTTAACTCAGTATTCAAGTGGTGAATTTCATTTATTGATTTGCAAATGCTGAGCCATGCTTACAATTCTGGGATAAAGCCAACCTAGTCGCCCTGTACAATATTCTTAATGTGGTGTTGTTATGGTTTGGATGTGAGGTGTCCTCCAAAACTTATGTGTGAGATAATGCAACAAGTTTCAGAGGAGAAATGATTGGGTTGTGAGAGTCTTTACCCAATTAGTGATTTAATCTCCTGGTAGGATTAAATGAGTGGTAACTGAAGTGGTAGGGTGTGGCTGCAGGAGGTGGTAATTCGGGTGTGGCTTTGGGTATATATTTGTTGTTGAATATGATTTGCTAATGTCTTATGAAGAATTTTTGAATCTAAGTTCATTAGGGATATTGATCTGTAGTTTTTTTTCCTTGATGTATCCTTATCTGGTTTTGGTATGAGGAGAATACTGGCTTCATAGAATGAGTTTGGAAGAGTTCCATCTTTATATTTTATGAAATAATTGAGGAACATTGGGATTAATGCTTTTTGCAAGGAAGATAGAACTTGGCTGAGAATCTATCTGGTCCTGGCCTTTTCATGTTGGAAGACTTTTTATTACTGCTTTTATCTCATGGATTGCCATTGGTCTGTTTACATTTTCTGTGTTCTTTCAATTCTATTTTGGCAAGTCAGATGAGTCTAGAAATGTATCCACATCTTCTAGGTTTTCTAATTTATTGGAGTATAAGTTTTCAAAATAGTCCCTAATGATCCTCTGCATTTCTGTGATATCCATGGTGGTATCCCCTTTCTCATGTCTTCTAGTTTTGTTAGTTTAGGTTTTTTCTCTTTTTCTTCTGGTTACTTTGACTAAGGGTTTATCAATCTTATTTATTCTTTCAAAGAACCAACTCTTTGTTTCATTCATCCTTTGTATTTTTATTCTCTATTTTATCGATTTTGCCTAATTATTTTCTTTCTTCTATTTGTTTTGGAATTGGTTTGCTCTTGTTTTTCTAGGGTCTTGAAATGCATCATTATATTTTTTATTTGGGATTTTTTTTTGATTTTCTTATGTAGGTGCTCATAGCTGTAAACTTTCCTCTT